CATGTTCAGTTCATTTCTTACAGAGCGATCCGGCTAGAGATTAAGCAACAAAAGCTTATCGGCTGGTTTTGCTCTGTGCACCCTATGAACGTCCTCAGAGATGGTGTAGGGACCCACATTGATTATCACCCGTGAAGCATGACCATAGCTGTGACATGTACAGTAGATCGATGTGCTTGTGAAGCATACCAAGAACGACGACAGCATCAATGTTGTTGCCTCAAGTCATCAAACTTGGATTCTTCTCTTCATAAGGAATTTACAAGACATGTACATTTGCGCGTGTGTGATTTGTAAGATGATGACTTCTGGGAGCTTGTGATAGACTTAGTTGTAGTACATCAGCTTCAGAGTCCCGTTGAGTCCTGAAAATTCTTCTGCAAATCAATAGAGTCCAGAGAACGGTCTAACACTGGAATGGCTCACCTTCTGAAACATGAACGGTGATTTAAAACTTTACTGGGCGTTGCGGTGTGGTGGCGCTGATGCCAACTTCTGGATCACGTCATGCAGCTGGATATAATGGAGCTTGGACTGAGCACAAATCTTGCTTGCTTGACTGGAACTCTGATCAGATCCTCCTGAAATTCACTGCCGGTTGTAAAGGTCTTTGATTTTGTTGTGAATCTAATTATGTAGCCATTTTGGCTTGTGAATTGGTAGAAATTCGCTGAGGAAAGTGCGGTCCTCGTCCCAAATCGGTCCTCTGAAATTAACTGACTGACTGACTGCAGAGATCAAGGGTCCGTGTGTGGGTGGATATGTATGTATATATATATATATATATATATATAACTGGCACATTCAACAAAAAAATGAGTATAAAAAATATATATATTTATATAAACATGCAATTGAATTTGATGTCAAATGATTCATGGATATTCTACCATATGCATCACATTTTAACTAACGAAGTAACTTTCTTAGTCCACATGATTTATTTTTGAGTGAATTTTTAAAACTTTTGTAATTATTAAAAATTAAGTCACAAAATCTTATGTTATTATTAACAATTAACAATTGGCTTAATTGCGTTTAGCCAAAGTAATTGTATTTTGGTAAAATTTTAAACAGTGAGTAGCTTCATCATGTTCACAGGTCATGTATACAAAAATATTTAGGAATAAACAAAATCCATGGAAAATACTAATTTAAAAACCACTACATATGCTTAATTTATCCTTTTTGTTGATTTTTTTATTTTGAATTTTTTATTTGATGTTTTGGGCTAACATATTGACTTTGGTTCCTTAACGGAAAGAATATTTAATTTAAACAGTGTAAAAACTACTAATAACAACATCGATGTTTTCTTACTTGTACAAAGGAATAAAATAAATTATTATTTAAATTAAATTTCTCAAATTTTATATATAAGAAATTACGTATTTATAATATTTAGATATATAAGACGTCTTTAGAGCAATTTTTTTAACTGAACAAAAAATCCTCAAAATTTAATCCATAAATGCATTTATTAATACTTAAAACTTAATTAAATACAAAATATAATAAATAAATAAATAAATAAATAAATAAATAAAGTAAAATAAAATCTATAAAAAATATCTGAATTTAAATTTATTTTTTACTTGTTACAATCATATTTTTTAAAAAAATCCATCTAATCACACTCTATTGTAGCCAAAAAACTTGATTTCCAATAAATAATCATAAAATTTTAGTAACATATAATTTTATTAAAAATTTAATTATTATTCATTTTTTAGATTTTTTCTATAAAAAATGAAAGCTCTAATCTATAAATAAAAAATTATTATTGGTCAAAGATCATACTATTATTTGACTATTATTAGTATATTATAATATTAAATATATTGCATTCTGCCATCTCTTTTAAAAAAAGACATGTCGTTCTTGGACACTATCATTGTAGTCTTAATATTATAATGGAATAACCATAATCATTTGACCAACTTTAAATAAATATTTTTATTAAAAATATATATCAATATTAGTTTATTTTTAATTTTTTTAACTGTATCTTTATTATTGCATAAAGCTCTACTATTTTTTTTATTGAATCCTTTGTAGATTAATTTAAAATTTTTAAATTTCAAAAATATTAAATTATAGATAATAACTATTATTGGTAAAAAAATAAATTTCTTTAAATAAAAAATATATTATTGTATTATATA